ACACACACACACACCAGTTCTCAAAGGAAAAAAAAAACTGCTTTCAAATTCTGGCAACAAAAAAGTAGAAGCCCCCAGGCAGGACATTAAAAAGTCGCTTTGTGAGCAAAAAGCCCAACATGATTTTGATTCGATTCAGCCTTTGCATCAGGCAGGCAGCAAAAATATTTTGAATTAACTCATTTTATAATCAGAGTAAATCCTGAGGTATTTAATAGCGTAGTCAGGCTCTGAGTTTATGGGTAGTGTGGTGTTTTCAAAATGGAGGATCAAAACTGCCCTTCCTCTTCCCAGCAGACGTCTATTACCACATCACCTAACTCATCTCCTCTGAGAGTCTGTACAGTTTTCCCCTTTGTTGCATCTCAGGATGACATCTGAGTTAAACTACCGTAGTTCCAGGTCAGTTTCCCAGCCTCACGGTCACCTCACGGCCTGTCTGACAAAGAGATCTGAAGATTTCCAAAGCTTGCCCACATGTTTCTGCCTTTTGTCTCAGCCAATTTCATTTCATTATTCATACCCAACCTTTCTTCTGAAAGGGACCCAAAGCAGCTTGCAATTCTGAAGCAAATGGTATAAAAGCTAACACAGACGCATATAAGCATGTGCATGCACACACAGACACACAAAGTAAATTATTGCAATAATAGAAAGCAATTAAAATAATATATTAAATACAGCTTAAATAGTTTTAAAAACATATTTAAAAGAATCAAATATTATACATTAGATAGGCCACCATAGAGAGTCAATTACTGAGTCAACTAGGGAGTCTTTGCTAGATAACGATTCTTCCCCATTGGAATGCATTAAACAGGTTTCAATGCATTCCAGTGGGGAAATGCTTTTTGCTAGACAATGATTTTGCTAAACAGCGATTTCAGTGGAACGGATTATCATCGTCTAGCGAGGCACCACTATACACACAAAGATATATAAAGTCGAGTCCAAGTAAAGTCCCTGGTGTAACTTAAGTCTGACTTGACTGCAAGTCCCTCGACTCGAGTCCCCATCCCTGGTTACATTATTTGCATAGCTATGCAAGACGATTCTGACCAATAACAAGCAGCAGATAATTTAAACAAAGAAGGAAGAGGATCCATGCAATTTATCAGGAGTGCAGCAGAGGAGAAGGAGGAAGTGGGAGCCCAGAACTTATACAGACTAATTAGTGTACAGTACTGTACTGTGGAAGCATAGTTTGTGCCTACTTTAAAATGAGCACCCAGAATTTGGGAAATTATGGCCAGAATCCTACAGATTATTTATGCTGATGCAAGGGCAATGGCAGAAGTCGCAGCAGCACATTGCCCCCATGTAATGAGTTCTTGCTTGTGTTCCTCACCACACACCAATCTCATGACTTGGTGTGCCCTCAGGAATACAAGCAGTGACTTGTTAACCGGCAGCAATTTGCTGCTGGAATTTAAACCATTGCACTTCTGTTGGTGTGATAGGATTGTGGTCCTTCAAAAAATGTAACTCGTTGTGTTACTCATGACAAAGACCTGCCAGTATCCTGTTCCACATTAGTTTCAGTAACTCACTGCAGCATTTGCTATATTGATGCTACCAGGGCTGGGGGGGGGGGGGCCCATTTTGAAACCGATCAAAAATTCNNNNGAATGTCTTTAAAATGCCTCCCAAAACCCCCCAGAGAGGTGATGAGGGGAAAAAACAAATATAAACAGTGCTCATTAAATTAAAAGTCAACACTATTACTTGCCATTACACCGCTTTGCAAACTGAATGTCCTTATGCCTTCATAACTCCAAAAAGGAGATCAACTCAGAAACCCAATGCACTAAACAACAAAATACTTAACAAATATTTTTAGGAATCTCCCAAGCTGTTCTGACACTAGGCAAGCACCATTGTCAGCACTCTCTCTGCATGTGTGAATGGTGACTGTCCGTAGCAATTAGCCTGCTCATTTCCTCCCCTTCCTTGTTCCTGACTGAGTCAGCTCCAGAGCATATGCCAAGGGCTCAGAGTTTTCTGCCTCCCCAGAATGAGAACAGATTAATAACGTCTTTTTGACGTTATTAAGCAATTCAGTGTATAGGGTTTGTGACTATGGTCCTCCAGATGTAAACCAACGACATCTGGAGTTGCCCACTACCTCATTTAAGGTATTCTGAACAACATTCTGAAAAGCTGGACCCTAATAACAAACCTACCTCTTTTTCTAATCCTCCTCTTTCCTTTTTTGTTTCAGATCAACATTCTTCCAAGACGACAAGAGCCTTTATAGTCAAGGGAAAGAGAGAAGGATGGTTCTCCTCCTGTATTTTGAGGTGTTGGAGGAAGATTAAATTTAAGATGTAGCTTGTTCTGCAAAAGTAAAAACATTGCATTATTTATTTTTATTTATTTATTTATTTATTGTATTTATACCCCGCCTATGTTTAGCCAAAATCATAGAATGCAATCGTGTTTCCCATTTATCCTGGGATAAAATGTTACCTCCAGAGAATATGTTTTCTGTTTTAAAAGTACAGCCAGCGCTTCCTTGTTGGTAAAGTGTCTTCCAATGGTTTCTGTTTCCCTTTCTAATCAAGTTAAACTAACTACTGTACAGAAGTTCCAGCTAATCTTTTTTGTGAAGTGTGAGAGCCCCCTTCTGGTGCTAACATTGCCATTCATCCTCATTATTTAAATAACACAAACAATACTTCAGCATCATCTTAGAACTACAGAGCTGGAAGGAACACTACGGATAACAACAATAAGAGTGGTTTATTGATATTTTAAGTGCCAATTAATGAGAAACAGGTGGACTCTGGGGAACGTGTAACTGTTTTTGTCTGTGAGTCTCTGTACTTCTATTGAGCAGCAAAAAGGGAATTTTACCAGAAATTTAAACTCTGCAACAGTCTTACAGTGTTCGCTCTTGGTTGATGTGGAGTGTTACATACAGCACTGATGTTACCTGTCTGTCATGGGTTTGGAGGGAAAGTTCCATCCTGTCTGTGAGTCTCTGTACTTCTATTGAGCAGCAAAAAGGGAATTTTACCAGAAATTTAAACTCTGCAACAGTCTTACAGTGTTTGCTCTTGGTTGATGTGGAGTTTTCTATACTGCACTGGATTCCTTTAGAACTGGCACGGCAAGAGTTGAAAAATGAGCTAGGTAGGTAGGGGGTGATTTTGACACCAAGTGGCAGAGGATAATACCTCCGAAGAGTGGAGAATTTAGAACAGAGGTGGCCTTTTAACAATTCAGCATCCTGGATTGGCCTTGAAAGACTTAGAAGGGGGATATGAGGCAAACAAATTGGCAGAGTCATAGGGACTGTGGAACATAATGAAGAGGGCAGAATAGCTGGCACGTGTCTATTTTCTTTTTTTAATACAGTGATGTAGTGCTGCTACATGGCAAGCGGATAATGGCAGGAAAAGGGGATGAGTGGGTGTCCAGGGAGAATAGTGGGAGTGGCTGTAACAATTGCCTATAATGCAATGGTGCAGAAAAAGGTTACACTCCACTCACTCACCACAAATTCCTTTTTCTTTTTGCTTTTCCCCTGCTTTGTGTCTCTTGTCGGAATGTTTACAGAATCAACCTTCAAGAACACTAAATACGAAACAGAAGTCATCAATAATTGTGGGTGTGAAATGCAACCATACGCCACTGTTCCTTAGAGCCTGACATGAATGTTTTACTCACTGGTTCTTAACCTTTGTTACTCAGATGTTTTTGTACAGCAACTCCCAGAAGCCTTCACCATCAGCTCTGCTGGCTGAGGTTTCTGGGAGTTGCAGTTCAAAAACACCTGAGTAACAAAGGTTAAGAACCACTGTTTTAATGTATGATCTCTGTACTCTACCTGAAGAAGTGGGCAAAGTTCCACAAAAGCTTACATTTAAATATAATAAACGTTACGGTGCAGTAATTTTTTTGTCTTTTCAACTTTTTTATTTTTATTTTGTTTTTGCCTGATATAATTAGAGATGGGAGCTTCGTATTTGTATCCTGGGGGATATGAATATATAGCGTGGCAACATAGGTGCGACGGTGCTCCATTCCCAGAACCAGAGCCAGCCCGGTCCACTCACTGGGCTCTTCACATGCATCTGGGGGAGGCAACATCACACCAATTGCAGAAGTAGTCCCGTGAACACTTCCCTGCCTGTCCCTACAACAGGAGACACTCCAGGGAGGAGGAGGGAAGACGTGCTGTCAAAAGGCTGGGATTTGTGTTGGCTGGGGTTGGGGAAGAGTCAGATAAGAGGAAGGGGAGAAAGTGACCAGTTGCTCATGGACTGAGAAGATCAAGGCAGCTGGATTTTTATCTGAAGGTGATGGACTGTCCTAGATCATAAAACTAGATCTTCCCCAGGCACTGCCACCTATTTAGAAGATCTGGTTTCAGCTGAGAAATAAGGAGGGGGATGAGCAAAGTTACTCTAATAGAAGTTACTTCTAGAAGGTTCACAACAACTTGAGATTCGGCTTTGCTGCAACTTGATCCACAGTATCTTTTATGGTTGCTGTTATGTAGTGAGTGTCCAACTGGGAGCAGTTGTTGCCTCTGCTGTTTGGTTTGTCAGCCAGCTGCAGGTAATTAACATATTTTCCCCGTGTATAAGACACCCCCACTTTTCTAACCCAAAATTAAGAAATCTAAGTGGGGCTTAGCAAGTGTAGGGGGAAAGGGATCAAAGTGCTGCAGGATCGTTTGATCCCTGCTTTCCCCTCCACTTGTTTTTGTTCTCTCCTCAGCTTACTTCCATGTATAAGATGACCCTCCATTTTTAGTCTAAAAATTTTAGACAAAAGTATAGTCTTATACACGGAAAAATAGGTAGTGTGAGTGGGGTGATTCCTTGATTGAGCATTGTATAAACGTGCATGTGTGTTTTACTTGGTGTCTTTTCACCTTATCTTGTTGTTGAGAACTGCTAAATAAAGGCATGCTGATTTACACCTTGGAATCATGCACCCACTATTTAACATTGGTGATAAAGGATGGCATGTGACAAGGGAGATAGTCTGAATGACTGAAGTGAGTGCCCCATCCGAGAAGCCGAGAAGTGACGTGAAGGTAAGAATGGCTAGTTAGAGCCGTTTGACCAAGTAGCAGAAGATTGGGACTCTTACATAACACATTTTGAGTTTTATTTGACTGCTCAGAGAATTACAGACACAGGGCTGCAGAAGACTACATTTTTTAGTGTACGTGGGCGACAAATTTTTGAAATTGCCAGGGCACTTATTGCACCAGTGTCATTGCAGGAAACGCCGTTCAATGTTGTTAAAGAGAAACTGAAGAATCATTTTTCGCCTCAGCCCTCTGAAGTAGCTTGCCAACATGTATTTTATAAAAAGGGACCAAGCACAGGGAAAGTCAATCACAGGATTTGTAGCAGGTTTACGACAAGCAGCCATGCACTGTAAATTTACAGATTTAGAAACAGCTTTGAGGGATCGGCTGGTGTGTGGACTGAAGGATGAGAAACTGCAGCGGTGTTTGTTTGCTAAGAAGGAATTGACCTTTAACAGAGCCCTGGAGGAGGCGATGGCAGCGGAGGCAGCAGACCTGTTGACCCCTGAGGTCTGCATGACATGGTGTTTACACCTGCCAGGGAAAGCTGAACCAATCCTTCAGGGGAGTATGGAAGATAATTCTGGAGAGGAAGAGGAGGTACATCAGACGAAGAGAGAGAAAGTGAAAAGGAACAAACTGCCTTATGGGATTTAGTGTACCAGCTGTGGAGGGCAGCAGGAGAGGAGGTCCTCCTGTTTTCATGATGTGAAGTGCAGGGCTTGTGGCAGGATGGGTCAATGGGTCATACTGCCCACATTTGTTGGTCTAGTAATTTTAAGGCCTCCCTGTCACAGCATAAGGCATGAAAAGACACCAAGTAAAACATACATGCACATTTATACAACACTCACCCAAAGAACCACCCCACTTCCACTAATTACCTGCTGCTGGCTGACAATCCAAACAGCACAGCAACAACGGCTCAATCTGCTATACTCCCTACATTAACAGTTGTGTTCAGTATAGATGGTTACCTGAAGACCCTGAACTGTTTGGGTCCCAGTAGAAACCCATCTCCAACAACACAAGAGGTGACTCTAGGAGGCAGCAACAAAAACCATCCCAAAGAAAAGGAAATGCAAGAAAGCAAAGTGGCTGGCCAATGAGGCCTTACAAATAACAGATAAGAGAAGGGAAACAAAATGCAAGGGAGACAGGAAAAGTTACAGAAAATTGAATGCTGACTTCCAAAGGATAGCAAGGAGAGACAAGAGGGCCTTCTTAAATGAACAGTGCAAAGAAATAGAGGAAAAGCACAGAAAAGGAAAAACCAGAGATCTGTCCAAGAAAATTTGAGATATTAAAGGAACCTTTTGTGCAAAGATGGACATGATAAAGGACAAAAATGGTAGGGACCTCACAGAAGGAGAAGAAATCAAGAGGTGACAAAAATACACAGAGGAATTATACCAGAAAGATCTGGATGTCCCGGACAACCCAGATAGTGTGGTTGCTGACCTTGAGCCGGACATCCTGGAGAGTAAAGTCCTTAGAAAGCCCAGTGGGCCTTAGAATGCCATCACCTCCACTGGCCTTGTGGAGGACAGTGGAGGTGATGGCATTCCAGTTGAACTATTTGATGACATCTGACTGGGAATTCCATGTTCTCCTTGTCTTTTTAATTTTTTGTCCCTGCAGCAGTGACCTAGCACTACACTTGGTAGTTTATTAAAAAGAATAAATAGTTTGGAACAACTAGAGAGAAAGTTTGTATGGGTGGGTGTTCTACTGTCCTCATACATCATGCCCCAGCTTAGTATATCATCATAACACTAACCAGAGTCACACAAGGTTTGAATAATAAAAGAAACAACCACACAGGGGGAAAGTCTGAATTTGTCTGGCTTTTGAAAAGCAAAAGTACAGTACTCAGCAACAGTGTGGGGGAAATTCTAAATTGGAAGGGGAAAAAGGCTCAGCCACGAGCATGGTGGTTCAACTTCTGTTCTGCTGCCAAACTCTGCTCTCAACTCAGAGGTTCAGTCGGGCTCAAGGTTCATTCAGCCCTCCATTCTTCCAAGGTCAGTAAAATGAGTACCCAGATCGCTGGGGATGGTGGTGGAGGGGTGGGAGAGTAATATGTGTCACGACCAGTTTCCTGTGAAGGAGAACTTGATTGGTTGGACAGAGAGTACAGTAACTGGAAGTCTGAGCACCCCTATACAGCTGGGTTGAGTCCTGATGACCTCAGCCAGGGTGTAGAGCAAACTTCTTCATACAAGTATGCCCTACAAAGATACTTGCTGACCCTTAGGAAGGATCAGTAGGAAGTTACACATGAGCTTTGTAATCCTAAAATCTACTTGTCTCAATAAGGTAGGACTCAGTAGCTTAATGTGGCCTTGCTTCCCCCTCAGGTTACAGCTATGACAGCTTCACTGTTCAAGAGACCAAAAGATTTCATAATTATTATTTTTATCAAAAAATATAGATTTACAGAATAAAGTCAGTTTGATGCAAAAGCATAGGAAATAAGCATTTTCAAGGCTTGTTACAAAATACAATTAAGGCAATAATCCTCTTTTAATTACAATAGCTCTAAAATCTCTAAAAATCTCTAAAAGCTTCCTTAGGGTAGGCAAAAGGCATAAAGCCGCCCCTTCTCTTCTTCCTTGACTCCCTACATCTTCCCCAGTCCTTTCCCTGCACGGAGCAGCAGGCAAAAAGATCTAGAAAAATATAGGGTATGATGGAAAAAAATAGAACAAAAGAATGGAACTCTGCATATAGTAAAAATTTCCTTTTTCAATCTTGGTAACGCCTTTCTCCTTCGTCTCTCATGCTGTCATCCAATCATGGCATAAAGTTATAGAAGCAATTCCCTCCTTCTCTTCTCATGAGAAACAGGTGTTGTTTTTCTC